CCACCCTCCAGGTCTTAAACGTGTATGTCTCCAATACTGGCTGTATCCCTGAACACACAGAAATCTACCTAGCTCTTCTAACCATCACGCTCTTGCTATGGCTCTAATAGCTCTGACCCCAGGGCAACTTTATTTATTAACATAAAATTAAAATCACATTTCAGTACAAATAAAATATCACCACAAACTTGACACCAAAATATCTGAAAAATCATGAGTGGCAAAAGGAATAAAAAACAAGAAATAATATTCTCAGGAAACCTCCCATATATTGCAGGTGAAACCTATTGTGGGGAAGAGACACTGAAGAGTTTAACATCCAATGGCAAGTCAAACACTACAATGCTCATGAGCAGGTGAGTTCAGTAGAATACGCATAATATTTAAAAAGAGAAATGCAAGAGTAAAACTAGATTTCAAGTAGATTGGTACTGCCAGGAGCCGACATGTCTCATAGTCATAAAAATAAAGAAAAAATTTCTAAGTATTAAAACATTTTAAATACCATATTCTGTAGATTTCTAAAGGGTTTGAAGATGACCTATTTAAAATAAATCTGCTCAATCTTGAAAACACACCTAATATGACTACAAGTTTGATTGTAATGTCTAACTACTAACTTTCATTTCTTTATATCCTAATAGTTGGTAATAATAACATTCAAGGATTAGCAAATTGCATTGCATTGTTAAATGAACGGTATAAGTACAATATCTTGAACAAGATTAGAAATATATGTAAAGTATTTTCTAGCAATCTCAATATATATAATTTGTATACAATATGCAAAAATCTAATCCAATGTAAAGTATTTAAAACTAGTAATTGTCTTTTAAAAGTAGATTCAATAATCTATCTTTTTATATATATTGTATCTATATCTTCTCTTTATTTTTTCGAGTAGATTCAATAATCTACCCTCTATTTTATCATTTCTATATATCTTTAAAAAAAAAAGAACCTTAAATCTAATCTCCTTTGGTTAGCCCTTTTCCTAACCCTTAACAACAACTTGTTACCAACGCTCTTAAACAATGAAAATTATCCAAGACCTAAAACGCATTAAAAGACCAAAAAAAAAAAAAAAAACCTGCCCCACACCTCCTCTTTGGGAATGTGGGTGTCATATTCTTAAAATTGCTTCCTGATGGATATGGGCGAAGGTACCTTTATTCTGACAGAAAAATTTTGGGTTAATTGTCAAATTCTAGGAAAGGTAGCTACATCATTTTTCGTTCAGTCTGAGCACAATGCCAAAGTTCAGGGCTTATCTCAAGTCCTTATTCAAGTAGTCTTTGAAATTGGAACATCTCAACTAGCCATCTCAAAATTGCTCTGAGCAGTTTGTAGTCCAGAGCTGATCTGTAGATGGTGTTTGTCAGCTTAGTGGTATAATTATTGTCTCCGTGGAATTGTTGTTATTGTGGGCCCCCATTTTCTTCCTGGAGACTTCAAATTTGATGTTAGGCCTGGCCATGATTTTTGCAGAAAATTGATAGAGACTGGGACACAAAGACATGTAAAGGCACCTAATTGAAGCCTTTTTTTCTAGAATTAGTTAGTAGTCTATATGACCATTAACATCTTAACAAAGTTTAAAATGTACATATATATATATATATATATTAATCTTGTAAATTTTGATATAAAATTCATACTTTAAGAAAAGTTTGAAGAATCAGAATAGAATCAAAGATTTGAGATTAGTAGTAATAGAATAGTCCCTTAACTAATTTGTTTTTTCCCCTGTCTCATATCAGTACATGGCTCTTTCTTCCAGCATGATACAGGGAGTTTGCATTTTCCTTTTAACAACATGCTTGAGTTTAAAGAAGGAGACACCCCTTTTCCAACTCCAAAGTCAGCTTTAAATTTTAATTGAACTGGGACTATTAGAAGACCAATATTATTAAATTTCTTTAGAGAAGAGCAGAAACAAACACTTAGGAAGATTTATGAAATTTTATAAATGATATACCAATAGGCCATTTTACTCAATTTCTTGGAACATTTTTTTCTACAGATGTCTCATTTGTCTAGTGTTCTTCAGATTCCTTAGCCTTCATTCTCCTAAAAGACAAAAAACAAAAACCTTTCCCCAAGACTAATTTTGGGGAGGTTCCCTTTTGGCAAGTCATATCTGATTAAATGAAAAGACATGTGTTAATGGTATAAGTTAGTTTAAATTGAATGGTCATGCTGGTTGATGAATTATCACCTCTTCGAATTAAGAGGTCTCTCATGTTCAAATCAAACCTTTATCAATTTTGATGCTACCCACAGCTTATATTCTTCTGTCGAAACAAAAGCAAAACCTTGTCCCCAACTGTTGGTGGAGAACTTCTCTCCAGGTTCTACCAAGCCCCGCAGTCCCACAATCCACGTATAAAATAATCATTCAGACTCTTATATTACTTATAAACTGTATGGCCATGGCAGGCTTCTTGCTAACTGTTCTTTTATCTTAAATTAACCCATTTTTATAAATCTATACCTTGCCATGTCGCTGGTGGCTTACCAGCGTCTTTACATGTTGTTTGTCCTGGCGGTGGCTGCAGTGTCTCCCCCTCCTTCTTCCTGTTTCCCCAATTCTCCTCTGTCCTTGTCCCGCCTATACTTCCTGTCTGGTCACTGGCCATCAGTGTTTTATTTATATAGAGCAATATCTACAGCACCCAACATAACACATATCCTGGTTTCCATTCTGTGGTCAGCACATCCTTAAAGTATATAGGCTGATTTAATTCTGTAGTTTTTTCTATTATCCAGTGTCTCTCTGCAGCTGTTGTTCCTTTCTCATTGGCATTGAGAAAATTCAAAGTTAGAAGAGCATTATGCAGTCTGTTTCTGGGGGGTTTTGTTACCCCTTTATGTTTATTTAGCATATCCTTTAGAGTTCTGTTTGATCTTTCTATAACTGCTTGACCTGTAGGATTATGTGGTATACCAGTAATATGCTTTATATTGTAATAAGCAAAAAACTGTTTCATGTTAACAGAGACATATGCTGGAGCATTGTTGGTTTTGATTTGTGCCCATTTATACCCATGGTGGCCATAACTTCTAGCAAATGAGTGATTACAGAATCAGCTTTTTCAGAACTCAAAGCAGTTGCCCATTAAAATCCTGAATAGGTATCAATGGTATGGTGTACATATTTCAATTTTCCAAATTCTGCAAAGTGAAACTGCCAGATTTCATTTCTCTGAGTACCCTTTGGATTACATCTTGCTGGTAATGGCATCTGATTGTAAAAGGAACAAGTAGGACATTTCCTTATAATTTCCTTGGCTTATTGCCAGGTTACGGAAAAATCCTTTTTTAGACCTTTACTATTGACACGATGGATTTTTTTTTTATTAAATTCTGATGCCTCCAGTACATTTCCTATCAATAATTTATCAGTCTCATCATTACCTTGTGCTAGAGGGCCTAGCAGACCCATATGGGATCTGATGTGAGTTATATATAAAGGATGACTTCTTTTCCTGATTATATCTTGTAATTGAATAAATAGTGAAGTTAATTTTGACTCATCAGGGATTAATTATGCAGTCTCAATATGTAACACCACTCTTTCAGCATACTGAGAGTCAGTTACTATGTTGAGAGGTTCTGAAAAATCCATTAATACAACAGAATAGCATACAATTATGATTTTAGAACTGAATTATACGGACTTTGAACCACTTTACTTAAATTTTCTGATTTGTAACCTGCCTTTCCTTGTTTGTTGGCATCTGTATAAAATGTACAAACTCCACATATGGGTTTTTCCCATACAATTTGAGTCAAAATCCAATCAGCTCTTTTATAATATCAATTCTATCACTTTTGGGATATTTGTTGTTATTTTCTCCCAAAAATTACTGCAAGCTCTTTGTCAAGGTTCACTTTCAGTCCATAATTTTTCAATGTCCTCCTTAGATAAAGTTACGATGATTTCTGCTGGGTCTATTCCTGCTAATTGATGAAGTCTCAATTTTCCTTTCCAAATCAAGTCAGAGATTTTTTTCACATAAGTTTTTAATTTTCCATTCGGCGTATTTGGTAAAAATATCCTTTACAATATAATATCTTCCCTCTGCATTAATATTCCTGTAGGAGAATGCCTAGAAGGTAAAATAACCAAAATGCAATCCAGCTTTGGATCCATATGATCCACGTGTCCTTCATGTACTTTCTTTTCTACCAAGGCCAATTCTTTCCATCTTCAGGTGATAATTTTGTTGAACTATTTAAGTCCTTGTCACCTTCTAAGGTTTTGAACAAATTATTCAGTTTATCATTTTTTTTACCTCAACAATAGTTCATAGATGAGAAATGTCTCCAAATATTCTTTGAAATTAATTAAGACTGTAATCAATCTCTCCTAATTTGCACTTTTTGGGGTCTAATTTTTTTTGTAGACCTATTTTATATCCTAAATAATTAATAGAACCTCCTCTTTGTATCTTTTCAGGAACAATTTTAATCCCCAGCAAGGCGAAATTTTCTTTACTTCTTCAAACATTCTTTCTAAAGTATCTGCATTTGCGTCAGCAAGTAAAAGATCATCCATATAATGATAAATTATAGATTTAGGAATTTTTTTACATATCACTTACAATGGCTGTTGTACGAAATATTGGCACAGGGCTGGGCTATTCAACATTCCCTTGGGGAGGACCCTCCATTGATATCTTTTAACCAGTTGAGAATTATTATAAGTAGGCACTGTGAACGCAAATCTTTCTCTGTCTTTTTCTTGTAAGGGTATTGAAAAGAAACAGTCTTAAATCAATAACTATATGGGTCCATCCTTTTGGTAACCGAGTAGGAAAAGGCATCCCAGATTGCAGAGAACCCATTGGCTGAATTACTTTGTTAATTGCTCTAAGGTCTGTTACCATTCTCCATTTACTAAATTTCTTTTTAATAACAAATACAGGAGAATTCCAAGGGCTGGTTCATTCTTCAATAACTGTTCTTCTACCAGCTCTTCTAAAGCTTGGAGTTTCTCTGTTGTTAAAGGCCTTTGATGAACCCATATAGACTTGTCTGTTAACCATTTTAAAGGTAGAGCTGTTGGTATCTTTGGAAGATCATCAAATGTTGTGCCCTGTTCTTGTATAATATGGATGGCTGGTGACCACTCCTTAGAATAATACCTTCTATTATTTCTCTCAGAAACATGTGCTAGTTTATGATTTATTTCTGAGGTTGGAGGGGATGTTAATCTGAGCATTGCATTGTTCTAACAGATTTTGACCCCCATAAGTTCATAGCTATACTAGCCACATATGGTTTTAATTTTCCTCTCTGTCCTTCTGCACCTATACATTTGAGCCATCTTGAACACTGTTTCACTTGAGATAATGTTCCAATTCCTAACAGCTGAACATTTACCTCCTGAAGAGACCAAGTTGGATTCCAAAATTCTGGTGCAATTATGGTCATGTCGACACCTGTGTCTACCAGAACACACAACAAAACATCATTT